CATGGCTTTTTATAAAATACAGTTTTTATAAAGTAAACTGGTCCCCATAAGTTAAAAAAATGGGTATTTATCACGATGTGGGGGCATTTTGATGCAGGAAACTGGTCCCCATAAGTTAAAAAAATGGGTATTTATCACGATGTGGGGGCATTTTGTCCCCACAAGGTAAGGTATACGTGGACCACATAAACACACACACACACACACACACACACAGGGGTAATTCAGAGGCACCAGTTCACCCACCTGCATGTCTTTTGGACTGTGAGAGGAATGCAGTGCAAACCCAGTGAGTCCATGCAGACTGGACTCCCACCCAGCTGGTGTTACCCACTGAGCTGCTGCAATAATAAGGAAATGAATTAAATGACTTTATTTTCTATAATTTTTCAATGGCCAGGTACAGCTCCTATTTGTGTTGAAACGCCTCCCTCCCCAACACAGACCCCTCCTCTCACAATTGCTCCTTTGAGGACCACTCCTGTGGCTGGATCCAGGCAGCCAGTGATGACCTGGACTGGCAGCGCTGGACCGGACCTTCTGTCACCGCTAACACCGGACCCGCGGGGGACCACACCACTGGCTCGGGTCAGCTGAGGGCCATCGTTTGGTTACCTCTTAAGTATCTGGATGTAAAGAAAATTCAATTACAAGTTTACGTACTGCAGGCCAGGTGGTTAACCAACACGCCACCTTCTGGCCAAACAATGCAGTATATTTTGAACAGTAATTCACAGGAGCAAGTAATGGATAGGAATTACAAACAATTCTCATGGGCTTGGGGGGCCTGCGGGATTCAGACCTGCTCCCTGTCATCATTACCACAAACAAATTTACACATTAAGCTCTTGAGGCTCAACAAGTAGACCATTATACTAACAATGCAAAGGTTGTGGGTTCAAGTCCCCAGTATTGTAATTGTTCCTTTGGAAGGAAAGCTACAGTCCACCATTACTAAGCAGAAGGGCTAAACGTTTAGTGACAAAAAGTTCATTTTAAACTACATGTTATGCCACAGTACTGTACGGCAGTCAGTAACTGCAGGTCTGATGATTCACCTGTATTCATGATTTATTACAGGTATCCCCTGTTTTACTCCACTTAGCCCTGTTTTCCCTAACCAAAAGAAATCCAAAGAGGATATTTGCTTTTACGAAAAAGGGAGAAAAGCAAAATAGCCTTTATCATTTGTTTATCAGCGAACCAATTATAGGTATAGGTACAGGTACAGGTATAGGTATACTGTAGGTACATGTATAGGAATAGGTACAGGTATAGGTATAGATACAGGAATAGTTATAGGTACAGGTATAGGTACAGGTATAGGTGTGCGCAGTAGGGTGGGGTGGAAAAAATCTAAACTTCCAATAGCAATTTCCAATAGTGCGGAAAAGTTGTCACTGGACCTCGTTATTAAACATGCAAAATATCTTTGAAATAGGTTAATATTTTCAAGTTCTGCAACCCGATCGAAGTTTTTACTTCTCTCATCAATGGGCAATATACACTATGCATTATCTGTACTCATCGGTGTTGTGTTTGTGCTCTTTCACAACATGATAATCACTACAAAATACCAACGTTCAGGTAACGCAGATTTTTACTGGGTATCAGCCATACACATACATTACATCGCCCTGCGGCTCTACGTGCATTACGATTAATCACCGGTCACATCAATGCGCAGATCCACGCCACGTATCATCCATATCATAACGCAATGTAAAATTGTTCCTCAGTGCCACTAAAATGAAAAGTATTATAGATACTTTATTGATCCCCTTGGGGAAATTGTTTTTACGCCTCCCTCAACTTGCTCTTTGCAGAGTAAGTTGTCCGCGAAGGGCAGCCACCCGTAGCAGCGCCCAGGCCCAGCGCCATTAAGCATGACAGTCAAAATGGTTAGATACACTATATTACCAAAAATATTGGGACACCTGAATTCAATGAT